GATGGTGAGAGAGTATCGATACACAGACTTGAGATGGTAGCAGAGTATCGATACACATTAATTGCATAGTTGTCAGCCAAACCACTAACCAAATATCAAAGAACTCGGATGCACTTGCTAGAATCACTTTGTGGCAATCAAACGTTTCAGGCTCCACAACGATGAGGCAATCAGAAAACTTTTTGTTTTCCAGCAGATCGGTAAACACTGGTTGCAGCCTAAAACACGAAGAGTCGATTCTTATATTATGTACAAATGCATGTATTTATGTACCAACTTACCAAGTATCCATGGTAGCTAGTGCGTAATATGACGAAGTTTCTGAAAAGAGAAAAATGTACTTCACGGAATTAGCATGTACATACATGTTCTTGCACTTCATATGTGTGTGTATGTGTGTAAGGCTGCATGTTCTCTCTGAGCCGCTAACAAAAATGTATTATCTTTGCTAAAAACTCAACTACACTACACTGCACTTGAATTGTTGGTACTTTATGCACACTTTTGTAATAATGATAATACACAGTCAGGCGTTTAGCGAAACTTTTCTTAACGGCGGGCAATGGATTCAATTGAGAACTGACAGACCTGATGCTATTATCGATATATGTAAATGTATCGCATATAATTAATTACCTTCTTACCGATATTTCACGTTCACTTATCGATATTAGTTATCTTGAAAATTTGCTGTTGCTGCGAATAGGGAAATGGCAATAGAGACAACACGAAAACTTAGCTTTCATCCTTTATAACTTTAATCAAAAACAGCCAGAACCAGGTGTAAAATAGCCTAATTGGCAACACTGCTCATAGGGCAGAGCTTCCGAAGAATGAGCTAATTAGTTAATTAATAATAGTTGAATGTTTAGGCTTATGTGGCTGAACGTGGAATGGAAACATGCAAATAATTTCATAAAATTCACCCGACCTAGTGCCTGCATAGTGGATGAAATGAATCTACAATACGCACTTCAACTTGGGAGAAGCTAAATCCCGTACTGGCTTAAAAGTATCTAGACGGCGTGGTATCTTCTATGGAGCTTTGAGGACGGATCTGGGAGGAGACGAACACAAACAGCAGAAATATTAAGTTTTCGGAAAACGAAACTGGATTTCTATTCAATAAGTTTTTCAGCTGCCCCTCCGCAGGCTGCCGGGATGCGGTCGGCTCCCTGGGCTCGCTCAGAGGGATGCTCTCGATATTTGTTGCAGGCACAACATGCGGCGCAGATTTGGTAGGCGCCTGCCGGTTAAGGCCAAAGTTTGCCCCTCAGACAGAACGACATAACGACAGAACGAAGGCAGATGCCCAAACATCTTCCCCATGAAGTAGTTTCGAATTTGCTCTCCTGTGTCCTGTGACCCCCACGAACGAAATTAAACGCAGCCCTGCAACAGGCGGCGTGGCTCTGTTGGGGCGGCAGGGCAGCTGGTGCATGGCGGCTTGCTCTGGATCAGGTCAGATGTTCCTGGTAAAATTGCGGCTTGACCTCGGCTCCAACTTCGATGTGGCATCAAACCATGTACACTAAAGGCTACGATTACAGATGGATAGTTTGAAAATATGGATAGTCAGAAAATGTAACAACTTTCAATCGCTTTATAATAAAGTTCCTGAATTCATTCGGCACTTAATCCAAATGGTTTTTCATGGTCTTCATAGTTAGTGCCAATGGCACGCAATGTACGCGTAATTATCGTTTTAATGAGTTCGACAGATGTGTTTAAATGCTTTCAGCTTAAGTCCTTGACATTAGTCCGAATTTTGTAATTACTCTGCCCATAATAATTATTTGTTGGCTGTGAATTCAATTGCATTGTGTAATCCGCAGATTTGTATTTGAATTTTATTTTATTATAGGCACTTTCATAATTCAAATTTATTATGTTTGTACAGTTCGCCATTAAAAATAAACACACGAGTGTTTATTTGTGTTTAATTATACAGACACAAAAAAAAAACACATCCCTTTTCCTGTGGGGTGGTACGTGGTACTGGTCTGGGCGAGGCGTAGATAGGGTGACACAAATAGCATTTACATCATAGATTCGCAGAAGAGTTCAGAGCCAGCAAATGCCAACATATATACACAAAATATCCCCTAATGCTAAGGTATTTTTGAACTTTGTTGAACACGTTTTATATTAATTATGTGGCTGGCGGAGTACTTGCACCTCGGATGTTGCCCGATCTGCATATAATGCAAATGGGGGGGCCACAGCTTGCATTTCATTAACACGATTCGGGGGAATGCAGCCTGCAGCCAGCAGCCAGCAGAAACAGCAGCAGCAACCTTCCACTCCACTTCTACACTCATCATGGATGGCCGTACGTCAAGATGAAGGATGACGGCACTCCAGAGGATATATGTTTGTGGCACATGTGCAAGTGTTACACCTGTGGGGAGGCCACCGCTGAGGTTAACAAAAATGGCAACGGCATCATCCTGGCTGGCGACTGCGAAATTGCCTTGGATGCCAAATGAATGCAGTTGCATATTTCACGGTCGCCCCTCACCACATCATGCCATCATCTCATCAGCATGGACTTAACATTTATGTAAATTAACAGTGCACAAGCGTTAACATTGCGACCCACTGCCTTAGTTCGACTTGGTTCAGCGCAAATGTTACGGCAGGTCACTTACGTTCCACATCGGCATCCACACTCAGACTGGCATCCACAGCTGTTGCTGCGCTGCTGTTAGCCTGCTGTTGGGCTTTCGTCCTGCCGTTATAAAGCACCAGCACAGACTCTTGGCCGGGCTCATTCCGCTGATAGCCTCGTGAGGCAACGGTAACTGGCTCTGCGCGACTGCAAGCGACGCGCGGGATGTGAATGCGGAAAGGCGAATGCGAGATTCGGTGGAAACTGCGACTCCATGACTTCCGGGGAGTGGGACCTGCGGGCGCTGAAGGCGCTCGAAGAGGAGGAGCAGCGCGAGTTCCTGGCCCTCAGCCAGAGGAATTTGTTTGAGCCACTGCTATCGGATGGCGGCGGTTTTGGTGCTGGTGCTGGTGCTGGTGCTGTTGGTGGTGGTGGTGGTGTTGGCGCCAAGCCAGCCCTGACCTACGCCCAGCTGCATCCACATCTGCTCAAACTTCCCACCATCGACGAGTGCCAGCTGATTGCAGCCAAGCAGCAGTCCGTCGGAGGCACCGGCAACGGGCACGGCAGCCTGTCCGGACTGCGATTCACGCGCGCTCTCTCCCTCTCCGCCCACTCGCTTTCGCCCAGGGGCGGTGGCGGGGGCTTTGGCAAGAAACTGAGGGCCCGCCTCGTGGGCGCAAAGTCAAGCGGATCGCTGTCGCCCTCGCGTCACTCCCACAGCTACAGCGTATCGCCCGTGTACACCCCGCCGCCCATGCGTCGATGTGCCACGCTGCACCACACGCAGCCGGTGCGAAAGACGTTCAAGAACCTGCAACAGCTGCAGGACCGCAAGCGCCAGGCCAGCCAGAATGCGGCGCCCCCCATGCCGCTGCCGGGTCAGCTGCAGCGGATTACGGGCACTGGCAAGACCTACTGGAAGTACGGGGCCAACTCCACGGCTGCCTCCATTATCGGGCAGCGCACTCGCCGCCAGCAACAGCACGGCACGGAGCCGCCAGTCGAGTCGAACGCTGCCTCGGACCTCGAGCTCAATGCGGAGCAGCTGGAGTCGGATGTGCTGGACAGTGGCACGGAGACGGGCTCCTGCAGCGTGCCACTGCCAGCGGCGGACACCAATGAGGTCCTTCGCCTGATGCTGAGTGCGGCCAGTTCGGCGGTGACAGTGACTCCCACAGCCGCAGCAGCAGCGGCAGCAACTGGTGGCACAATGTCAGGCCCAGTCACAGTGTCAGTGCCAGCGGCAGCGGCAGCTACGCTGAGGCGATACCAAGCCATCGGCGACGTTGTGGAGGAAACTGTTGCTTACGAAGCTTTTCACAAGCCCAAAAGCTTCGAGCGCGGCGCGCTCTTACGCGCTGGCAGCCTAACAGTGGAAGAGAGCAACAGCAACAGTCCCCGCAACAGTCCTGGCCGGGCAATGCAATCCACACTCTCAAGCGGTCGAAGGATATTCAAGTCCGCCTCATTGGACTGGCCGGGGGAGCCACAAACTCAAACCCCCCCACAGCCACAGGCACAGCAACAGCAACAGCAACAGATTAACGGCCTGACCACAAATCCGCTCGAGATTGTGGACCAGCAGACAATGGAGGCTCGTTACAAGCAGCGGGAGTGGGAGCACATGCATCACCATCTCCAGAGTCATCACCAGCAGCAGCTCGACGCCTCGCTCGGCCTCGGTATGGCCATGCCGGGCGGTAACACCATAATGGACGATGAGCTGGAGCAGCACATCAAGCACTGTTCGTGCTCCTGCAATCACATGGGCTACGGCAACTCGATGGACTATCAGGTGAGTGAAGAAACTCCCATCCGACTGACTACAGATGGAACTACAGATTCGGAACTTCACTGGGAATACGAATACGATAATTGCGATAAAACTGTACTTTAGAATTCTCTGTTCACCTTTGCGAAAGAGTCAAAGTTGCCTCCTCTCCTGGCTAATGCCAGGCAACAGCTGCAGCTGCCACTCTGCCACGTGCGCATTCCCTGGCAAATGATTCTGGCATGGTGGGTCAGTCCTTACAGCTCCTACACTTCCTAATGCCTTCACATAAGTTGAAGCTAAACTGATTACCATCAGAGCTCTTTGTGGGGCATTGCTGCCTGGAGACCAACCTGGGGGCTGCCCCATGCTGCTGCAGGTTGCAACTGCGTCAAGTGCCCCATTGTTGTGCTGCGCTGGCTGGCATTCACATTGGCGAGAACTTTTTCAAGTAATTGAATATCCCACTGAGGCGAACAATGAGCCCGCAGGTATCTCCCTGCTCTCTTTCTTGGGCCATTCTTGCACTCTTCATTGTCCGACTTTTCCGACTTTTGAGTTTGGAAGCTGTCAATTGAGACACGGGGCTGTCCAGTGTTCACCAGGTTTACAACATTTAAAGATAGTACTTTGATTAGGCTTTATAGGAAAGTGTTTACAGCGTAAGTAAATCTACAATTGGAGTGGGCTTGGGATGTGCATTTGGGGAGTGCTAGAGTATAACTTCTAAGTCTAATACGATTGAATATCCATTGGGAGGGGGTCATGCGTCTAAAGGCTGGGACTGTGCGTCTGCCACGTCTGCCACGTCTGCCAGTTACTGCAGCGTGCTCTGGGGCGGAGTCAGAGGCGTCCATGTATCGGCGCTGACCGCAGTGACCACTGAAGTGGGAACAGCCGTTGGAANCACGGCAGCGCCCCTGTCCACAGAGTGATGATCCAAGGCGGAGGAGGAGGACTCCAGCTTAATGTCGTTGTGCTTCAGACTTGTGCCGGCACACTCCAGGGTGATCACCGAGCTGTGCTCATCGCTCGGCTTGTACAACTCCGACTGCGGATCGTCCAGCGCCTTCGAAACGTCCACGGGCTCCAGGGGGTGTGAGGCGTAGCTGTAAGCAGAACGCGATTCGAGAGGGGAATCATTGATAGCTACTTTAGCGATAAGTGGATCAAGTTCCCAGTGGATAGAGCCCCCACACCTACCCAATCTCCAGCGGTATGTACTCTGGCTGGTAGTAGGCGGCCGCTGCTGCATTCTGGTACAGCCCGTACTCTGCCCCGGATCCGTTGTGCCACCCGCCCGTGGGGTAGCTGAGCGCCGACGGAGCGTTCAGCACGTTCGTATACAGCTGGTGGGTGGGCGAGGTGGGCGTGGGATGGTACACCTGATGCGTGCCTCCGTACGCCGTCTGGGAGGAGCCAACGCCAGTGGCCCCCACACCGCTGCCGTATAGGTCCGTCTGTCCCATGTTGTACTGGTGGCCGTGGGGCGTCAGATGGTGGATGGTGTAGCTGGGCGAGGGTGTCGTGTAGCTCGGCGATCCGTTCGTCGGCGATGGCGAGTTGTGTGTGGCTAGAAGGAGTAAGGAGCGAGAGGTAATGTCACTCTCCTGGTCAGGGACAGGAACAGGGACAGGGACAGGGACAGGGACTACACTCACAGATGGTGCTGCGACTGCTGCTGCAGACGTTCATGGGCATGGGACCGGGCACACTTGAGGCGTTCCAGTAATTGCCATTGCTCTGCCAGCTGCCGGGATACGAGAATACCGAGGCCGTGGGACTGGCCTCCACGGGTACTGGCATGAAGCCTGACTGCGAGTAGGCGCTGCCGTAGCATCCAACGCCTCCTCCAGCCCCGCTGCTGCTGCTGCTGCTCACGCTGGTGCTCAGTGATCCCGGCACCGTCGACTGCATGCTGGTGGGTGTTTGCGGGGCCGATGGTGGCTGTGGCGATGAGGAGGAGGGATTGCCGGCGCTGCCATTCGATCCAGAGCCCGATCCGGAGACGACTCGTGGCCTGCTGTAGGGCGTGCTGCGGGTGGTGGGTGCCACACCGGGCCTGGATAGCGAGCGCCCATAGCGATCGCAGCTGGATCCCGATGTGGCCGCCGACGACACTGTGGTGGCGCCCACCAGGCTGTGGCTCTGCCCAAGGGACAACGGTGGTGGGGCAGCCACTGCGGCTGCAGCAGCGGCGGCTGCATAGTGTGTGGGCGGAGGGATCAGCCAGCCGTAGTGGGTGTCGTGCGGATACAGCGTGTCCGGCCGTTCTTTGGCATCGAGGAAGGCCTTGGCGAAGGGATTGTACTTGATCTTGAGCGAGGTCACCTCCTCGTTCTGGTATGCCGTCACAGCGATGAACTGCGTCTCCGGGAAGGGGTAAGTCACCACATGCCGCTGCTCGGAGCCCACCCGCACCAGATGCACCCTCGGCTCGTACTTGTGCAGGGAGTTTAACATGATCTGGATGGAGAAATGATTTTTATATTATGAGCTCCAGTTTTCGAGGAGAAAATTAGTTACTGATCACTCACCTGACCGTTGCCGTTGGTCTTGTTTGTCAGCTTGACCTTGGCAAAGGAAATGGGCTCCTTCATCCAGTGTGCCCCGAAATTGGGTGACTCGGGATGTACGTAGATGGGATTCGAGGGAGGCACCTCCGCCTTGCCGCCGGGCACCTGTCAGACACAATGTGACGTTAATTATTCAGAGGAAATACACGAAATTAAAATGCTCACCCATTCGCCGTTGACGTACTTCCAGCGGTGCGAGTCCACTTGGACAAATTCCAGCAGAACCGTGTACATGGCCGCCGGGTCCAGGCCCGAGGCGCTGATCTTCACCACCGGGAACATGCGTCTGCATGGTCAAACAGATGAAGCAGCAATTAGTATTTAGAACAGTTATGCAACAGAGAGTTAAGCCCCCAGTCTCCACAGTTTCCACAGTCTCTAGTGCGTTCCGATCTATGGGGCTGCGAGTGCGACTTCGACTGCGACTGCGACTGCGTCTCGGGTAAATATTGAAACGGCCATGCGCGGCGTCCATGCGCGCTCTGTTCCACAACAATTAGTACAAGATGGCGGCTGTTGCCGGGCCATGCTAATTAGCACCTGACCAGGCAAGGCCCGCCTCCCTCCACAAGTTCTAAGCCCACAGAGCCACAGCGACTGTACGCGTCCGTAAATTGGTAAATATTTTGAAGTAGAGAAAAGTATGTAACCCGCACACGAGTCTTCGTTCCTCTCCAGGCAGCAGCGAAACGTTACCGCTTCATTATGACCCGCCGCAAACAGCGCCAAATGGAAAACGATTGCAACAGGAACAACAGCAACAAAAAACAGACACACACAAAAAACAAAAGCTCCAAAACCCATTGCCAATTTGCATTGGAAAACCAGTTAGCACATTCGCGAGAGGTGGTAGGAGCGTATCTCTCGGTGACTCACTTACCTGCCGTTCTTGGTGACGATCATCTCGTTGGTGAGATTCTGGAAGCGCAGCCAGAGCTCGCGATCATCCAGTGAGACGCGCAGATTGCGATCCAGCTCGCTGGGGCTGCCCGGAGCTGCTCGGCCACTGCCGCTGGGTCCAGAGGCAACCGCCACCACGCCACCTCCTCCTCCTCCGCCGTGCACCTGTCCGTGGCCATGTAAGTGCGCCTGCCCATGTCCATTGTGATTGTGGGCCACATGCTGCGGCGATCCAGCCCCGCCGCCTGCCGCCACATTGCCACTGAGTCCGGTAGTTGGATCCACGGCGGACAATATATGCGATGTGGTCATGTCAGCTGTGGCAACAGAAAAAGAGAACAAAAGTGTTAGCTAAACGAGAAATAAAAGTGCACAAAGAGAGAGTAGCATGAGCCTTCAATTTACTTCGATTAATCCCATTCGTTGTGAGATTCTGGCGGGGAGTACGAGTGTGTACAATCATCTCATGGACAGTGTGCACGGGGCATTACATCAAAGATATTTTACCCGACTGGCCGACGAAGTGTCGGCTTTATGCGTTTACAGCACTATCCCAGGAGCATTAGAAGAATGCTCCTCCAGCTCCTCTCCGTTGTCGGCTTTTAATTATATTGCACACTTTAGCCATGCCATGCCATGCCATGCCCGGGACTGGTACTCATACTGGGACTGAGAGTGGAACTGCGATTGGGATTGAGTTTGAGTTTGAGTCTCAGACTGAGACTGAGGCTGAGACTGAGACTGATGCTGGCTGGCCATAAACAACGGGCACCCTTTTTATTTATGGCCGCGGCAACAAACACCTCTGTGTGCGTCGCTGACGGGGTCGTAGTCGTGGCAGGGGCAGGGGCCAGGGTCAGAGTCTTTTTTTGCTCTCTGCGGAAGAGGTCTCCCTTCAGATCTGTCTGACCAGACTCCGGTGATGTCTAAATTCTGACCGAAAGTGTTTCTCGCAATGTTTTGTAATCATAAATTAACAAAATGTATTAATTGTTTTGTGTTTGTGTTTTTATTGGACCAAACCGATGGATTGGATGCTGAATGCCGACGGTGCGGCGTTCCCATTTCTACGATTTTTTTATAGCACACACACACACGGGATGGTTATTGTTCTTGCTTGGGATCCCAATTTGGATTTACTAACAATTGTGTTGCTCATCTTCAATCATACGTATGGGTTTTTGTATGTGGAACGAGGAAGAACCAACTGCTGCTGCTGCGTTGTCAGACATTTAATTTGAAGGTGTCACCCGAACAGGTTGCCCTCGGGCTCCAAGGTGATATACACAGCAAATCAATTGTGCAATCAATCAGCCAAAACCCTGCTAAAAAGGCAAATCAATCAAGAGTGTGGCTCTTAAGCCTCTTTAAGCTGAAGCCACTCCATTCCGTTGCAAAGATTAAATAATATTTCACTCCACACGACCTATTGGCTTATTTTGTTTTAATTCCATTGTTGCGGTTGCTTGTGGGGTTATTTGAATGCTTTTTGCCGATGACTGAATTCAATTAAATTGATTTTTAAGGACACAATTATTTGCATTTTCCTGCTATGCACTGCAGCCAGGCATTGGGATTATTTTTGCACCCAATTTGTTGGATGTTCTCTCATGTGGCAGATACTTAGCAGACCTCATAAAAATGCACTCTTCATCGTTGTCCGGGTGTCACTGGGTTCCCCGTACCTACTCGTATTTGTGTTCCACATCGATCCACACCAATCCACCATCTCCAGCGGCAGCTCCATCGCATCGCATCGCATAGCCAAGCTTAATGAAAAGCTGTTTTTGTGTGTTGTGTTGTCTCCTCGTGTATCTGTGTGTGTGTGTGTTTGCGTTTCTATATACTCGTACTTCTATACTTCGACTTTTGATGGCTGCCATGACGGGTTGACTCGAGTTGAGGTTTGTTTCGTATCGGACTCTTTCCCCATCCACTTTGTTGTTGCTGGCTCTTGTTGATTTTGAATGATTTCGTGACTCTGATATTTACTCAGACTCTTTGAAAGTTTTTTTCTTCTTTTTTTTTCTCTCGTTTATTTCCTTTGGTCTTGCGTATGAAATATGCGCCGCTAGAAAAAATCGAACCAAACCTTTTGTAATATGGCAATGGCGTACTGGCGGTACAGTGCCTAGAGGCCACACATCAAACGAATCTTATGACTGGCACACACTGAGCAAAAAGCCCGTATAGAAAGTTTCCAATTATCTAGCAGTCAAATAAAGGAAAATCTATAGCAGCAGATTTGATTTGTCGTCTCTGATTTATATAATTCTTCTCGGCGTTGAGTGGAGGTTTAAGAACTCATTTGTGTCTCTATTTATAGACATTGCCATGCCATTCCATCAAGTGTAACAAATAAAATGGTGAATATTCAGGAGAGGTATGCTTGTAGACCAGCCTAAACCTAGCCTTTGTATTCGCAGCATTCGCGATGGAGAACCCTTTTCCTTCCGATTCTATCAATGTTGTTGCATTGCCCGAACATAGTTCATGCGGCTTCCCAATTTGCACAAGGATTACGATTTGGGTGCCATTCACACCTGATCGAGGATCGAGGCGGGTGGCGACAAGTGTCATTGGCCGCTGGTAGTAGCTTATCGGGGTTTAAGTCGATTAAGTCAAATTTGCGCTAAATTTCACACACCACTTGGCATGAAAATAAACCAAATCTAGACTTGATCATGCCCCTGCCCCAGCAGCGTCCTGCTGCTGTCCTTCTTCTGTGCTGCTCCTGTTTCTGGGCCAAAGGAACTCGAGGTGTCACTTTAGGCAGTCACTTGCCTGGGGGCGTGTGTCGCACTTTTGATTTCTGCACACAGCCAGAGCCAGAGCCAGAGCCAGAGCCGGAAAGTGTGATGGCGCCGCCGGACAAACGGACGGACGCACTTTATGAGAGGTGTACTAAAATTTTGTACAAACTGTAATTAATTAGTGAGCATTTGTCAAGTACTAAACGGGGCCTGGGGCCTCTTGTGGCGGCGCAGGGGCGCAGTGGGGCCGGCTTCCTGGGGTCGGTTTATGGGAATCTGTTTTTTTTCTTTCGATTTGCATTTAATAGGATAATTTTCACATGCGTCGTAATTGACTGCTTGATCTAAAGCGTGCCACATTCGGCCATCCACGGGTGTGGTGCCGGCGGCCTACCATCTCTGTCTGGCCTGCGAATTCTTATGTTCCTACTAATTTGCGTGTGAATATCGGCTGTGCTGCTGTTTTATGTCATTAGAGATATTATTAGGATTGTTAAGAGATCGTTTTTGTCGCTGGCCCGCGTCTTCCGGCACTTCTTCGTCGGCCAAGTGTCAAAATCTGTGAATTTTGTGATAGCTTCGACGCTTTTGGGTTTTTGTTTGGATTTAGCATATGATTTTCACACGTTCGTTTCAATGGACTTGCCAATTCGTTAATCGAGTACAGTTATGAGTGCATGCCACAATGAGAACACGCTCACGCAGTGTCTTAGCATTTCCGATCTTTAATCTGATTTTTAATAAAAAGTTTTGGCCAAAATGATCAAAGAGCTAACCAATCTCTATGCGCAATTCCCATTTGAAGGGCACTTTGCTTTCGTTCATTAGATTATGTTTTTTACATTTAAGCGGACTTGGGCTAATCGAATTTGAATTAATTATCGCTTGCCGAGATTGGGCTACTTCTTGGTCATTTATTTACAAATAATGTGCAATGGAATTTGCGTAAGAACTTTGTTCATACATAAAACATTATTCTAAGCGCGAAGTAATTCACTTGTGGCGATTTCTCATAAGTTTTCACATAACATTCAATGATTTAATATATGAAAACTGGGATGAAAATACTGGTTTGAACAATTTGTAGATAATTTCCAATAGTCAGAGTATAAAAATCAATCAAATCAATACTGGAAATATATCAAAAACGTGTTTCCAACTAACGTATTGCTGTGCAAGCTTTCAAAATTAGTTCAATATCTTTCAGAGCGATCTTAGCCGCCCCACAATCTGATATCCTTTCCTATTGCTTATGACTTTGGGATCCACTTACATATTTGTGTTGCTCCCGCCTTTGTCCGGCGTAACTGCTGTAATCCCGTGGAGGAGCTCTCGTTGAAGTTTGTCAAACTTTCGGATCGCGCACAAAGACACTGTCAAGACACAATCACCAAGATCTGGTCAGATCCTTCTCCGTATCGTAATCAGTAATCGCTTGGATCGGCTGAGAGGAGGACATGCAGTCGAGATTGCCGAGTATAGCGCGTTTCTAGCTTTATTCTTATATTTTTTGCTTTGCGTTTCGAGTCGCCGAGTTTGGAGTTTTTCGCCGCCGAGCGTGTGTTTGCGTTGCCACCGTTCCCGAGCTAATGATCGACGATCGGTGCTAATTTGTTCCACCATCACAAGCCGCGCTCGCTTCCTCTATTGCTTTGGGCCATGTTCGGCCGTGATTCTGTCTACTCTCTCTTCGGCCATAGAGCCGTCCCGCTCTGGCCCGCGCTTTGGCCGAACCTCGCTCGGACCATCGTTCGCCGCTAGGCCACACCTCTAACAGGTAAGCGAGCTGCGCGGCATCTCGCATCTCGCATCTCGCTCGTGCCTGCTGGTCTGCGGCCATCGCTGGGGACCCTGGCAACAGGTACGCTTCTAGCCAGCAGGTTTTGGCCATATCATTCGGGACGAGTCGCTGGCCCTGTGCAGTGGCCAAGTCCTGGCTTGGATTCCCCAGCCCGAAGGAGCTGTCTGGATCTGCATTGCATGCGCCAATAATTAAGTGAAACGTGTTTCAAATGCGCACCAAGAGCGGGAGAGAAAGAGAAAGAGCAGTGTACAGAGATCAGAGAGGAGAGGGGAGATCTCCATGCATGGAGTGGGGGGGGACACGACGCAAATGCCCTCTGACGGGGCTAACTGGAGTTGCTGTCCGACTGGCGACTGGCGACTGGCTTTGATTTGTTTAGACGCTCGTTTTGTGTGTGTTTTGTTTGCGCAACCAATTAAAACTTTGTATTTTTTCCATGGGTGTCTGTTTGCCGTGGACCGTTCCGTCCGAAACGGGTTTAGCGGTCGTTCGGAGCGGAGTGGAGTGGAGTTACTTCGTTGAATTTTCAGCTGAATTTCGAGTTGTAAACACTTGACCGCGCACATCAGTTTGTGTATGTGGCCAAAATATATATGCAAAGCGATGGCCAAGGGGCGGAGTTGGAGGCTGCTGGGCTGTGCGTGACCAGTCTCGGTTGAACGAGCTTTTCGCATAGAAATCGGAATCGGAATTTAGTATTCAATATACTCGTAGTAGAGGCTACAAATAATGAGTGTACTCTGCCAAATATCACTCAATACCTAGGGGAAACAATTAAATAATATTTTTTTGTGATTCTACGGCTTCTAGAACCACATGATTTGCCCAAGACAATCAGAATAGGTCCACAATTTCCCTTGACTGCCTTGGAGGCAATCAGTCAAAACAGATCTTTAAAAATACGTCGTATCCTCTGCTCGTTTTTCGCTTATTTCGAGTGCTAATTGAACCCGATATTACAGCCAACATATTTGGATGTTGTCTCAGAGCGATCGAAGGAAAGAGAGCAGTTACAATTCGATTCGTTTCGCGTCACTGGGGAATTAGTTTAATAAATATTCATAACATATTTTCATTGCTTCAACTGTGAGTATTTATAGCTTTTTCGTGGTTTCGGAGCATCACGCGCCGCTCCCAGACGATCTTTTGTGAGTACACTCCACAGCGGATTGTATTCCAGTTAAGAGTTGGGCTGAAGATGGTCTGGGAATGGTAAAAAGTTGGGCATTCTGTGGCGCTGAAAGACAAACAGCACACACACAAATTTGGGGTCTACAACAGCGAGTAAATGGGAAAAATCAACAGACTCCGAAGTTCAATAAAATACATGAAATGGGGAATACATGGGGGGAATGGGAATTCTATCTGACAGATAGATACACAAGTAAATCGAAATGAATACACTCACGTTTGTATGTAGTTGTCGCACCCGTGACGGCTACCTTCTTGGCCCGCCATTCATTAAAGCGATCGCGGGTGCGGGTGCGGGTGCGGCTGCGGCGCGGCACTTTCATTAAGAGCCCCGTCCGGACAGCGGAGGATCGGTATTACGCGGAAATACAGTCTCTCTCGATCTCAACCCTTTCCGGGAGCGCGACCTTGCCCTAAATACTCACCGCACGGGCATTGTAGCGGCGTTTTGTGCCATCCATTTATGGCCCATCCTTGCGTCCTTTCCGCGCGTGTTTGCAAACAATTCGATTTTATGGCCGCCTAAGCGAATTTCCCCGCCTCAATTAGGCCGTTGTAAACACATAAACTCGAACACGCGAGAGCCCGAACGGTCTGCCGGTTTGCACAGGACACGCAAATACATCCTTTCCCGCGGAACAGGGCCATTAGCCGTCGGAAAATCCAAGTCCATAGATGTCCAAGGCGATGCGAATGCAACCCACACAGACAGATAGAGTTCGTGTTTGAAGTCTTTCGTTAGTCCGCTCGCCCTCCCATCCGATGGGCCCTCGCGCAGCCCCTGGTGCCGGCCGGGGCCTGGCCGTCGCCGCCGCCGCCGCCGCCGCCGCTGTGTTTGCCCCGCCTAGAAAGCAGACCCAAACCTCAGACCCATTTGCATATGGCCTGGCCCAGAGCTGGCTTAAGTGTGTTTGCCCGGCCCGGGCCTGAAACGCTCTTGTTTGCTCTGGGCCATCGCCATCGCTTTATTTACGGCCATGCCATAGACATCGCCATCGAATGTGGGCTGCGCGGTGTGCTGCTCATCTTCTGGCTGCAGGATTTCCATGGAAATTACCAGCTTAAAGCTCGTCCAATGCTTGCCCGGGGAATGGTGTGACTTGGCAAACAGCAGCTGGCAAAACAAAGTCAACTTTGAAACGTCTAAACGAGTATTAAAATATGGGAAAAAGTGTACTTTGCATAATTGCTCGATTTTTGGATACAAATGTAGATACAAACTCGTTGAGAATTCCAATTTGAAACTAATTCAACCATTTACAATGCGTCGCCTTTCCTTTGGGCTGTTGAAGCCCCTCAATGTGCGCCGCCTTCATGGAACTGCAGCGACGAGCGGCTGCCAGGAGGATTACGCCATGAAGGACCACAAGTACGATGCCATCGTGATTGGAGCTGGTGGGGCTGGCATGCGGGCTGGCTTCGGGCTGGCCGAGAAGGGCTTCAAGACGGCAATGATCTCGAAGCTGTTCCCCACACGCTCCCACACGGTGGCCGCCCAGGGCGGAGTGAATGCTGCGCTGAGCAACATGGACAAGGACGACTGGAAGTTTCACTTCTACGACACGGTCAAGGGCAGCGACTGGCTGGGCGACCAGAATGCCATCCACTACATGTGCCGCGAGGCGGAGAACGTCGTCTACGAGCTGGACCAGTACGGCATGCCCTTCTCCCGCAAGCAGGACGGAAAGATCTACCAGCGTCCCTTTGGTGGCCAGACCCTGGGCTACGGCAAGGGCGGTGTGGCGCGTCGCGCCTGCGCCGTGGCCGATCGCACGGGCCACGCCCTCATCCACACGCTGTACGGGCAAACGGTCAAGTATGCCGATCTGTGCCACTACTTCATCGACTACTTCGTGCTGGACCTGATCATGGTGGAGGGACGCTGTGCTGGCTGCCTGGCCTGGAAGCTGGGGGACGGCACCATGCACCGCTTCCTGGCCCACAACACGGTGGTGGCGGCCGGCGGCTGTGGCCGTGTCTACTTCTCCACCACAGCGGGACACACCTGCACGGGCGATGGCAATGCCTGGATATCGCGCCAGAAGCTGCCGCTCCAGGACATGGAGTTCGTGCAGTTCCATCCCACTGGCATGTACGGCGCCGGATGCCTGATCACTGAGGGTGTTCGCGGTGAGGGCGGGTTCTTCTTGAACTCCAAGGGGGAGCGCTTCATGGAGCGCTATGCGCCCACTGCCAAGGATCTCGCCTCCCGCGATGTGGTGGCTCGGGCCATGACCATGGAGGTGCTGGCCGGCAATGGCTGTGGCCCGCTGAAGGATCACGTCCACCTGCAGCTGCACCACATCGATCCCAAGATCATACACGAGCGCCTGCCGGGCATTGTGGTCACGGCCAAGATATTCGCCAAGGTGGACGTGACCAAAGAGCCGGTGCCAGTGCTGCCCACAGTCCACTACAACATGGGCGGCATTCCCACGGACTTTATGGGCCGCGTGGTGACCCTCGACAAGGAGGGCCAGGAGCAGCCCATTCAGGGTCTCTACGCCTGTGGCGAAACATCCTGCGCGTCCGTCCACGGCGCCAATCGCCTGGGCGCCAATTCGTTGCTCGATTTGATCGTATTTGGGCGCTCATGCGCCCTGGCCATTGCGGCCAACAGCTGTCCGGGCGAGACGCCACCGGACGTGGACGACAAGGCCACCGAGGAGACGCTGGACAACTTCAAGAAGCTTCGCTGTGCCGACGGCAAGTCTACCACGGCCGTACTCCGCATGGAACTGCAGCGCACGATGACCAGACACGCGGCCGTCTTCCGCGAGGGGAAGCTGCTCAAGGAGGGGCTGCTCAAAGTGGCCGATCTGTGTCGGCGCTTCAAGGAAGTGAAGGTCGTGGACCGCAGCATGGTGTGGAACACGGACCTGGTCGAGACGCTCGAGCTGCAGAATATGCTGGCCAATGCGGTGCACATCATCACAGCCATGGAGAACCGCAAGGAGTCGCGCGGCTCCCATGCCCGTGAGGATTTCAAGGTGCGCCTGGATGAGTTCGACTACGCCAAGCCCTTGGAAGGGCAGAAGAAAAAGAAACTGGAGGAACACTGGCGCAAGCACACTCTCACCTTTGCCCAGGGGGACGAGGGATGCGCCACCATCCAGTACCGCGAGGTCATCGACAAAACACTCGACGATACGCTGGCCTCGATACCGCCGGCACCACGCACCTATTAATATTACAGTCACATATTTTATACACACTTTCCACCCATTTCTTCTCTTTTCTTGTTCAATTAAAACCATTTTACAATTGGATAGTTATTGTTAGGCGTTCAGCCAAAGATCCTCAGGCAGAATCTTCTTACCAGTTCCATGTCCAAGATGCGGATTCTCTGCCAGACAACCAGATTCTGTCGCTGACTGCTGCAGATGCCTGCAAGTAAATAATTAGCCCCCGAAGGGGCTACGCCTAGTTGTTGGGTGATGATTTCTGAGTACACAGCACAGCTGGGGGCAGCAAATGATGGCAATAATTTATACTTAGAAATTGTATAAGAATTCTGCATTTAATAAATGTTAAACTCTTTCCACTATTTTATGTGATTTTTTCGTTGCTCCAACTATTTGGCATCCTTGTGGGATAGCATTTGTTTTGGAACAAGTTGAAAAAAGCTTTTGAAAAAGGGAAACTGAAATGTTGACCACAACTGTACGAGTGTCTGTGCAGGAGGATCCTAGAATGGCAGGAGTAGGCGCTGGAGCAGGAGCAAGAGCCTCCCCGTAATGACCACAATAAATTATATTCATTTAGGGGTATTTAGCATAGAGAAAAAGCCGAGTGCCGGTGGTGCATGGTCTCGCCTGGTAAAGAAATAATTTATGGCTGTTGAAAACTTAACATGTTCATTTGGCCACATGTGGGTGGAACGAATGGGAAGGGATGGGATGGAATGCCCCAATAATAATGGCGCTTGTTACGGCTTATGGCTGTATGTGTGTGTTTGTGGGTGGCTTCGTGTGCGTGCGGGGACAGCAAATGAAAGGACAGCAACAGAACAGGACCGCACAATCACCCGTACTGCTTGGCCTAGGAGCAACAAGAGGCTACAATCCCCATTAGGGGATCCGTCCTCATCCTTTCCAAGGACAGGCCCAAACTATTTCGTGTGGCATGCCCCAGTGTGCGTGTGTGTGTGTGTGTGTACACAATTGTTGGCATTTCATTTTGTTGCTGCTGCCACCGACAGAAAGATTACAGTTGCATACACATTTGCCTGTGTTAAATTGTCCCACAACCAATACAAAGTGACCTTTTCGTATATTTTTATGATACTCCCTCTTCCTCCGCCCGCCCCCTTGGCCACATGGTGCACGTTCCTTTGGTCATAAAAAATAGTTCACGCAACTCAACCTACAGCACAAGTCGTCTGCAGAGGCCCAAAAGCGGTTTACTGGGCTAAATGGCATTTTTTTTCTTCTGATTTTGAATATGTTTATTCCAAGCTGACACTAATGGCTGGAGATCTGTGGAATGGAAGCCAACATTCAACCTAAAGAGAACTGCTGCATAAAATGTATAAACACAATTCAGAATAATTTTATAACCCTGCATAATATGATTATTGTTCTGTAAATAAAATGAATTCTTGATACTTTGCACAAATTGAATGCTGAATATTTCCATTATTAACCGTCACTCTATTCCTCGGGACTATCAGGACTTTGTACACGTTAAAACCTGTCTCTTCTTGTAGAAAATATGTTGTTGCTCGACATTCCTAAATGCAGTCTTGAAATAAGTTCCAAAAAGTATTCAGTGGTGAGAAGCAAAACTTGAAGTTCTGCTCAAAACTTTGTGGGTATCTCCTGGTATAATAAACTTTTCGTTTTGCTGGCTTCTGCTGGGGCTTTGGGTTTAAGTCGAGTGCCTCAGAGAGGTGCGTTGGCTCCCTCTTCATTTCAGCTTCAATTATTCCTTCAAATGATAAAGGCTTGGGCTCGTAAATTGTAGCATGTCTGTAATTATAGGGATTATGTATGGAGTAAATTGAAGAATTGACTGGCAATAGTTGCTCGGAAATCAGAGCATGTCTACCTCTTTCTCCCGAGAGACAACAAACCGAAACGGAGGAAATCTAATCTTTGTTTGGATATTTTATTATCCAATTTCGAGTGTCTGCCGCAGGGGCACAGACAGAGAGTCGGGCCAACCAGCCACTGTTGTGGCTCTCTCCCCTGCACATCACAGCTCATAGCTTCTGTTTCTGCTTCTGCTTCTGCTTCTGTTTTTGATTTTGCTTTTCCTTTTCCTTACATTCCTCTTTTCCGCCATTGTTGCGGGTTGCCGTCCACTTGCACTAAGGAGTAAAGTTTACTGGAGCTCTCGAAGTTGTTTCTGCACTTCATTGCAAAACAAAATGTTTCAGCTTAAGCCCCTGTCCTGCTCCGGCACTACTCTTTCCCTCCCCTGAAGGCGTATAAAATACCAGAACGGAGTCTGTGTTCCGCATGGCATTTGAAGTAACATCGAGTGTGTGTTCCAGGGTACTATTTTCGGGGAATGTGTGTTCCGTGGCCGGGGGCGTGGCCGCTTTATGTATGTTTCCTTTGACTCAATCAGTTACTCGTTTGGGCCACCTCATTCATATCCACATCCACAGCCACATCATAATTTCCATTAGGATTGCTCTGGGCCTAAACCGAGTCAAAGGCACGCACTCCACTCTGAAAAATGCCTACAATTTCGGCATATTTCTCTACGGCTTGACCGCTTTTCCAACAAACTATTCCGAATATTCCAAACTGCAGTGTTTCCCATTCGTTTTGTTTCTGTTTTCCTTGGTTTTCGGTATTGGTTTTCCCACAGCAGGAACAGCAGCTGAGGCTGGGTCTGGGGCAGGGTCTGACAAAACTTTTGCTTGCATGAATTTGATTTATTAAATAATTATACACTCTGCTCTACACAACAAATAACATTCACCTGTATTTCCATTTTATATACTTTCAGGTACGTTCTGTTCGGGGAATTTCCATATGCAGTCCGTCGATTACGTGGGCTTTGGACTCATGTACGTTAAATGTTTACAGACATACACATGCACATATGCTTTCTTGTAGATTGATGCACAAGTCCAAAAACCGAATTTAGTGAATTTTCTGAATGGAAAATCAATTTCTTTCAAACAAGCCCGAAAGCATGCCATCGAAAAACAATTTATAAATATTTTCTATTCGAAGAGACGGCTGCTCGAAAGTATGCAAAGAGTATACACATGGGGCAGTGTGGCAAGGTGCGCCAGATGCGGCAAAGTGACTGAAGCAACTCGCAAACAAATTAACAATCATTAAGTGAATTTCCATGCATATATTTGGTTGCTTTTGTGCGGCTACTTATTGGCATTCGAGTGGAGATTAAGCTGTGGCACCTCAGTCAGTCAAAACTTGCACTGCAAACTCTCACGGAATAGGTTATAGATTTTGTTCCTTCTTTTCGCTGCCTTCTTCGTTTATTTAAAACTTATTCTTGCTCTGCTCAACACGGAAAGTTTAAGAGTGGAGACACTCAGATGCAGTTGATTTTGAACACACACTCCGGAAGGTGACGGTAAAAATGGGTTTATAAATTGCTGCACCTTCGTGTGGGGAGATGGATGGCTGCATGGAGCAAACCCAGCAGCTCAGAAATCGAGCAAGTGAAGCTAGGGAGAGGCAGTGGGGCGGCTCGAAAGGCAAATTTGAATAGGCCGGGCGCCTTCCTGTTGTGTCGGACAACATTTGCCACCTGCCGGAAGGAGCTGCAGGAGAGGGTCGACAAGGTGGGACAAGAGTTCTGATGTTTGCACCCACACTTCGAGTTGACACTATTGGAAATGCATTGCGTTTGCCTTGCTCTCCGTGTAGTCAAATGAGTTTTGCATAAACGACTGCCCCAGGAAGACACCGACCAGCTTCCTACCATAAGAATCCTGGGACTGCTGGGAGCAACAGAAAAATCTCTCAATGCCCTGGCTGGGAATGCATAATTAAGAGCAAAAACGAGAAATGAGCAAACGGTTCCAGACTATTCCATCAACATTGTAGACCCTACTCTGCCCACTGCCCACTGCCTCTGCCTGTGTCTTGCCCGGCAGTTCCTTGTCCTTCCTGGCCCGTCCAGGGAGTGGCTGCTGCCGTTTTTCAAATTAAAATGCGTTTAGCTTAAAGTACACGTTCTCATTTATCATTTTATTATGGCCAGGCGGTGTTTTTCTTGAGCTTTGCCGTTTGCTTTGGCTCTCCGAACTTTCCGATGCTACGTGCTGGCCAACGGGGCGCATGAGTAATGTGAGCACTTTGTGGCACACGGACACGAGCCAGAGCTACTTCCCATTGCACTGCCTTATTGCACCCATGCAACCCATGCAACCCATGCACCCGTAAACACACACACACAAACAGGCAGCAGATTTCCATTAAAGGTCCTTTTTCTGAGCAGGAAAAACAGCAACCAACAGCCAGCAATGATAGCTGCTACCAGAGGCAGCAGCAGTAGCAACAGCAAGCAACTAAATTTTGTTGCAATTTTGTTCTTCGTTTTTCGTTGGAGCGTTGTACTTGTTCTGCCATTCAGTTTGGGACCCAGGACCTGGTTTGCCTTCCCATTTATATTCATTTGTTTTCCGTTTTATTTACCCATCTCACCCGGAGCAAGAGCAACAGCAGCAGCAGCAGCAAATGTTCGGGTATGCATGCCACATTTTTGTATAATTTACCAGGGAGCCCGAGCCCGTGGGCGAAATTCCCACATTAGAAATGTGGGACCTCGACCAACATTATCGCCACCGAGAACGAACCACAGCAGCAACCTAATTAATTTGGTATTGCTGGGGGTATTTAAAATTAGACGATTGAAATTCGGCATCTAAAAAGTGCTGCCTCTTACCTCGAAATCAATTAGTGGGGCAGTGTTTCTGGCAACTCTCCCAGTTATTTATCTTCATCTGCCACCGAACGAAGAGTTTGATGGTGGCAGTTCCACTGCTGACAGTGCGCTTGAATGATTGTCCGAAGAGCCAGAAAGTACTTAATGCAACGTTGTTAATTATTTGACAATACTTTTAAATGGGAAACTCTCGAAGGAAGCCCGTGATAGCGGACAAGCGGGAGGGGGCTATTGCTAATTGCAGTTTGGCCACGCCAAAAAGCAACAAGCTGGCCCTCCCACTACTTTACACGGGAGGTGGCTGGCCGCGGCAGGGTCTT